CGTATGCCCTTTGGTCTTTGCAATGCTCCTGCGACGTTTCAGACTCATGGACCGCTTCCTCGGGGAGGCAAAGTTGTCACACTGAATGTGTTACCTCGATGACATCATGATTTATTCATGAACCTTCGAAAAACACCTGGCCTATGTTGCCGATGTACTCGAGAGAGTGAGGACCGCAGGGATGACATTAAATCCCACTAAGGTCCAATTAGGACAGACCCGCATTCAGTTGATCAGGTTTACTCTGGGCGAAAGCTCCGTAGAGCCGGATTGGGAGAAACATCAAGCTATCCTCGATTTTCCCATTCTCAAGGACGTACGTGGCCTTCGCCGCTTTTTAGGAATGGTCAACTTTTACCGTTCCTTCATTTCATCCTGTGTCCGACTGCAGGCGCCCTTGAGCAAGCTCTTGGGTAAGTCTGCTGAGTGGCAATGGGGACTTGAGCAGCAGCAGGCGTTTTGCCGACTGTCTGATGCCATAGCAGAGACAGCGCAGCTCAGGCTCCCCGACCTGACCAGACCGTTCGTTGTACAAACTGATGCGAGCGATCTGGATTTAGGAGCTGTTCTCCTACAGAAATACGACGGCGTGTTGCAGCCGTTGGCCTTTGCTAGCCGTTCTTTTGTCTCTGCGGAGAAAAATTATTCCGTGACCGAAAAGGAGTGCCTCGCCATCGTGTTTGCACTGCGGAAGTTTGAAGTCTATCTCGATGGGACGAAATTCGTGGTGTAAACGGATCACAGTGCGCTCAGCTGGCTGGTGCGGCTCTGTGAGCCTGCCGGCAGGCTGTCGCGCTGGGCTCTCCTGATACAGCACCATGACTTTTTAGTGCAGTATCGAAAGGGGAGCACCAACATGGTAGCTGATGCGCTATATCGTGCCCCATTGTCTGCCGAGGACATGGATCCCGGTGCGACAGTTGCTAGCATTGCCTTTGCACATGCAAGTGCTGGGGGCAAAAGAGCGGCTTCGCCGCCATTCAGCGAGAAGGGCGAGTCCCTATGCGGACAAACCTTGGCTGCTAAGCAGGTAAGCGGCGCACCGCGAAGCGGCCGATCGGGGGAGCTTTCCGAAGGCCACGAGGCCGAGAGCGAACTCGTGACGCCAACTCAAGCGGTTGTTGCTGTCGTCCTGAGTGGGCGCAATAGCAGACTCCCCCATTTTGGGAGAATTGGAATTGCTTTCAGCGGAGAAGAGCTTCTGAGGGCCCAGCAAAGTGACCCATTTTGTCGCGAAATGTGCGACGGTCTCGAAGAGATGCAGCGCCATGACGCTGCTTGCCCTGCAGCGGGCTTGAATAGGGTGCTTGAACCAGCGTGTGTCGCTGAGTCCCCGGCGAATTCATATTTGCTGGACCATGACGGGCTCCTGCTGAAGTATATAGCCACTGATGACGAGTCCATCGACCTGTTTACGGTGGTTATGCCCAAAAGTCTAAGAGCCGCACTGTTGCGATCCTCTCATGACAAACCTATGGCCGGTCACCTGAGTGGCTCGAAAGTTTTTGCAAAACTGAGCCACGTTGTGACCTGGCCCGGCATGAAGCGAGACATTTTTCGCTATTGCCGTTTTTGCCACGTCTGTCTAACGATCAAATCAAGGGGTGGCAAACCGCCCGGTCTGATGAAACTGATTGTCACTGAGGGTTCTTGGCAAGTGGCCACCTGCGATCTAATGGGACCATTTCCCAGAAGTAAGCAGGGGTTCATTCACCTGATGGTAGTCCTTGATCACTTTTCGAAATGGGTGGAATTGTTCCTTTTTCGGAAGGTGACAGCGCGAGCGGTGCTTGAGAAGCTGCAGGAAGTGTTTTGCCAGTTCGGCTTCCCGGAAAGGCTTATCACTGACAATGTTTCGTATTTCCCCGCTCCAGTGTTGGTTGTCACGTGCCGTTCCCTCGGAATTGATCACAGCACCACTTCACACTACCATCCCCAGTTCAATTCGACGGAGCACATCAATCGTACGCTCAAACCGATGTTGTCGGCCTTTGGCGAAAGTCAAAAGGACTAGGCAGACCATTTGAGTGAACTAGCATTCGCTATTCGAACATCCAAGAGCCGCTCAACTGGTTTCTCGCCCGCCTTCTTAAATTTTAGAAGGGAGTTGGCAAATCCGGTGGCCAGCGTCACTCAATGCCAGCTCGAGGGCGAGGAGACGCCGGCAGACTGCTTTGCTTATGCGTCATCACTTCAGAACAGGCTTTGTCCAGCTTTCTGCAAAGCAAGGCAAAGTTTGGTGTCGGCCAGGGCTCAGCAGAAGGCCCAATATGACCGCAAGCATCGCGACCTAGTTTTTGAGGTGGGCAATTTTGTCCTGAAGCGTAACCATGCTCTTAGCGATGCCAGTAAGGGGTTCTCAACCTCGCTCGCTCCTAAATGGCTTGGTCCGTACCGAGTGGAGAAAACTTGCACTCCACTCGCGTACTTGCTGAAAGATTCCATACGGGAAAACTCAGCGGTGCCCATATCGCAGACCTGAAACCCTTTGTATCACGGTCTGACGAGCTCGCGCCAGAGCCCTGCGGCACTTCGCGCAAGCAACAGGGCACACCCGGAGCGGCGGAAGGCATTCGGACCCCGCACCGGTATAATATGAGGAAGCAGTCACCTTTGTGATTTCGTGCCAGACGACGGACTTCTACGCAACCAAAGGCCCTCAGTTTACTGTCTAGCCTCAGTATAGATTAGCTTCTTTACGACCTTTTCTCGTAAAGAAGTCCACCCCGCACAGTCTGCTGCCAGCGTTTCTTTTTTTTTTTTTTTTAAGTGTTCATGTATATTTTATGTTTCTTTTGTCTAATATTAGGTGTTATTTGTATTTTATGTTTCATTTTATTTTCGCCAGAGATTGAGTGTCATTTTGCTCTGTTTAACTTTTTTTCCCATGTTTATTTCATCTACCGTGAAGGGAGTTGTGACCTTGAGCATCGGTGCGTATGCGTGGACAGAGAGGCAAAGGACGCTTTGCGCCTACGCTCGTGCAGCCGTCGGCGGTGTGTGTGCGTGCTTCTGTGCATGTGTAAGTGTGTGACGCTTCAGTGCGTGCCCGTGAAGAGTTCGCGTTGTGGCTTCACCCCATCAACATGGACACTAAAGGTGCTCGAGGCACTGACCTGCTGACGCTGTGCTCTGCTGTCGGCCGCCAATGAGAATGCCTACTGCCTTTTCCACCATGGCTCCTGCGTGAGGCCAGCTGACAGCACCTATATGCTGCCGGCCAACGCCAGGGGGCCTCGCAGCCAATTCCGGTTCGGCCTCCCTGATTACTGAATAGGCCCAGCTTCCCACAAAGTCCCAGCTTCGTCATCGAGCCAGAAATGCGGGGCCTCCAAACCACAACCGAAGCGGCGTTTTGTCGGACTGGCGACTAATCAAGAGCAGCAACGAGCCATCAGAGAGCCCCCTTCCGTGCCTGTGACCTCGCACTCAGGCATCGCAACCAGCGGACATTGTCACGCTCTTCCGCCCTTCCTCGTGGTGGACGCTATCCCTCCCAAGCACGACGAACACTAGTCCTACTTTTCTGTGCTCCCTTTCGCAATTATTTTTATGGTGTCATGTGTTTATTTTGTTATTATTGTTTTTTCTCCTTTGCCATTTTTTAGCAGCAGTTGCAGGGCTGGACTGAGGTTAGCTGTCGCTCAGAGCAGTGTCATTTTAACTGCATGGGTGACGTCCGGCTGCCTTTGCAGGCCGGTAAAGGAAAATTTAGGAGAGGGGGATGTGGGAATTGAGGCTAGCTTGCTGACTTTGCGCAGGCTTTGCTGCCTTTTCTGGCGTTCTCATGTCCCGACATGACTCCCTTCCTCTGCTCTCTGCCGCGCTGGGAGAGCGGAGTGACGTTTAACCCCTCTCACCCGGTAGCGGATGTCGACTGTGGCATCTCGCGCAGAGTCTCCTGAGAGGTATTGCGCGCGTGTCGGGAGCGGGTCAGATATTCTCCAGGACAGCTGACAGTGAGCCACGCAACTTTTTCCGTCCGTCGACTCTCGTCGCTCGGGGCTCGTCGGACTTTGCTGACGGCGCCTCGCGCCAGAGGCGAACGCTCACCTTTTGTTGCCCCTCTGCGTATGCTCAGCCAAAGGGTGGTACGGTGTCCTAGTGCGCAGCCACGCTACGCCGACCCGTCTCCTTTCGAAGCCAACGCGAGCGCCTTAGCCCTCGCTCGAGCAGCCAGGCCTTGGTCCCGGTGTCTCCGTGAATCACCTTTACCACGGAGGCGTGCTCGTGGCACCCTGTGTAGCAATTTTAGGCCCATGGCATGGATAAGCCAATTTGCTTTCCCGCCGTGCCTTTGCGGCGGGCTGTACTGCGTTTGGTGTTGCCACAGACAATAAAGTGTTGCGACCTTGAGCAGTATCGTGTTCTCACCCCTGCGACGGTTAACGCGTGCCCTGCGGCTCGCTAAGACTGGACCCACGCTAGTGGTTGTACTCGTTCGAGATACGTGTCACTACAACTCATACGAAAGAGGATGTATCGGATGGTAACGCTATGGATGTGCTACACGTGGCAATCAATCCAATTATCTTTAGGTTACCCTCGCCCAATCCTTACCTCCATGCATATAAAGCATGGCACAATGAACTTATCACGATTCTTCCTGTTATGCTCAAACTGTCAAGATGGTCCAACGACCACACACAATACAATCAGCTACGCGCACACATTATGGTCTCTAGCCTTTTTCCATTTCATGCACAACTGACAACAGCGCAGCTGCAGTTTCTGCTCCGGACCAGCATCAAACAGCAAGGCCAAAATGCCCAAAGGGTTTCTTTGAGCGCATCTATGAAACATGAATCTTTGAAGCTGCCCAGTATTTGTTGCACCGAGGTTTAGCATTGTCTCGCTTTTTGATTTGAACTTGCCGTGCAACATAGACATGGGTAGTAAACAGATCATGTTGCGGTCAATGAAGTTCCAGGCGACTATATATTTCACTACCATTATTTCAAACTAATGCTGCTGCAACAGGTAAGCTACAAATTACTCACTTCTGCCGACGAAGAAACTCAACATTCAACTGTGTGTTGTCCTCTTGCTCTTTGGAGGCGTTCTTCATGCGATCACGACCAATCCTCTTTTCCTCCTTCTGAATTTTTTTCATCAAATTCCTTTCTTGTTCTGACTGAAATCAAACACAAACAATGTTACAAGAAAATGGAAAAGCATCAATGGTACAATCAAGGAAGCACTACCCACAGAGCAAGAAGTACTTCTCAAGGGGAGCTGCTACTCGAAGACACTTTCTTTTAATATTCACCCTAGAGCAATGAAACTTGAGCTGTTTATGGAAATTTTTATGCCGATTTCAAATATATAATTAGTTTTCTTGCAAGTTACACACTTTTAGCTCTGCAACATGATAAAGCGGAAACCTTAAGCCTTTTGCCCCGCCTCTTTTCTTCTCTAAACTTCTGTAATTTTTTACCATTCATAGCTCATAATGCTTCAAATAAAGTGTAGAGTGCAAACAACTAATTAGGAAGCACATAAAAAATATTTAATACGCGTGAAAAATAATAGACGTAAAAAATTCCCATTTCACCTACCCTAGTAAAGGTATACATACAATTTTTTTATTATACAATGTAATATTGAAATTTAAACTAGATATTTGCATTTGTCATACTTTGAAAAAAATTTGGGCAAAATTTCATGCAGATCCGAGCACTAGAAGTGCCCGAAAAAGGATGGGCACATTGAAAAAAAATTGCAAAATTTGTGTTTTGAAAAAAACGAGTGTTAAAGTTAAAATTGAGTTTTTATTTATGAAAGATATTAATAAATTATATGAAATTTGCACACCAAAAAGAACAATCCTTCTTGTAGTGGCCACTGCGACTAAAATACGCCAACACCATGAGTTTGTCCCTCTCGGCTTTTTCAAGCCGACTCCTCACAGACATTTCGCTCACAGACAGGGCCATGTAACAGTTGCCAAACTTCCGCTCAATCTGGCAGAGCCTTGTGCCAACTGCAAGCTAGGAAAAAGTTCGACAGGGCTGCCAAATCCAAACGAAGTCCAGTGTCATGCCATTTCGCAGCCATGATTGTGCCACATATCGTCATACATAATGTCAAGGTCGTCCCTGCTAAGTTCTCTCACTGCGAGCTCTTTCAACCTTTCAAGATTGGCACTGACGTCATTCATTGCCGCATCACGAACTTTCCTGCTGACGGGTGTGAATGGCTTTTGATGCATTGGCTTTTGCAGGCCAATAACTGCCGCGAATCGAACCAGCTACTCGTAGCCTATTCCTACAGAGCGCGCCGCACAACGGCTTTCACTTGCGAGCAATGCTTTTTTCCTTCATAACGGAGATAATTACACAAGAAAAGCATTGTTCAGCTGCGCTGCTCGAGAAGACATGGACCCCGCAAATAGGTTTCACAGCACATACAGGCCCGCAGCGGCCAATGGCGGTCCCCGATTCGTACCTTGTGATAAGCCAGTCGCGGCGCTCGAAAAACACGCAGAAGAGTGCTTCTTTTTTATTATTTCTTGCACAGCATCAGTGAGAGAAACTGTTGGTACTTAAAGAGTGAGGCTCAACTCTTCGACTCATGCGATCAACAACGGCGAGCGGCGGCGCATTATCGGCGGCAAGGTGCTCGAATACTGCACACTGTCTACCTTTTAACAAGCACCTTGTGCTCTTTAGATGCAATTTGAAAGCACTTCCAGTTAAGTCTCGACCTGTATCATTTTTTTCATAACAGTAGAGGTGCTAATCTTATCAAAACAGGCGAAAATAAAAAATCGGTAATTTTGAAAAAAACTCGCATTTTTCAACCCGCATCTCCCCTAATGTCATTGAAATCAACCTGTTCTTGCTATTAGAAGTTCTTTTTAAGCTCATTACCTCAGGAAATTTGAGTAAAACTTTATGCCTAAAATAATGTGAATATGTTGTTTCCGGGCTCTGATCACCGCCATTTTTCAGCTCCGCCAGTGCAACCTCCGTCCACCTACTTACTGGCACTACAAAAAGCAACGCACAAGAAAAAGGACAAAAAATTCTAATGTTAGCAGTGTGTCATGCGAAGCTTAACACAGCGAAACACGAGCCTGTTGCCGAGGTGTGGATTTCTTGTCGGCAGTACCTAACAGCTCAATGGTTGGACAGGACACAGTCAGGCTAAGAGATTGCACCCAACGTCACTGTCGGTGGCCGTAGCTTGCTTGCTTCCTTTATCTTCAATCTTTTTTACAGCGAACGCTGTTATGAGATCACATTCTGGCGCCATAGCTGTCCGCTACTGCCAGTGCCCATGACCACTATCGCGTGGAAAAAATAAAAAATAAATATCTAGGATAGAATGGCATTAGAACATGGTCCCTCTACATGCCAACCCAGCATTCTACTACACAGCCATGCCAGGGCTTGGAACTCTTATACAAAAACACCCTATGCACGCTTCATGTCGATGAAGGAATCTGCTAACATATGTAACGTAGTGTTTTAGAAAAACAAAATGACGACCAGGCATCACACAATGTGCATTCCATAATGAGAAGGTCGTTTAAGACTTGCAGTTCATTACAAACAGCTCAGGCATAATTATTTTGAGCATAACAGCACGGACAACTTTCTGCACGGGAGAACTGTTCTGCTCGTTCTCTGCGTCTGCGCTGCAATGCACACTTAGTTGATTTCGGAAGTTTAGGTATCACCATCCGTCCATCACGGTTTTCCTGTTCTGTTGTGATAGGCTACAGTAAATATACATTTATATATATAAGGCTTATATGCAGAAAAATAACTTCGGTTGCCGCAACACATGCAAACAACGACAGTGGCGCAAAGCACCCACTCGGATTTTAAGCACAGGATTAGAGGTGCACTGGAATGTGACTCAGATAACGTCATATACCTTCTGGAATGTGGGGTATGTAACATGCAATACATGGGCCAGACAAACACACCGTTTAGAATTAGATTCAACAACCATCGGGCACATGTACGTTCCCTGACAGGCCTTCCACTTTCAAAACACAGTACATTAAAGGACCACAGCTTTGATGACATCAGAGTTACACTATTGGAAAGCAATTTTCGAACAATCTGAGAGCGGGAACAACGGTAATCTTACTTTATCTACAAATTCAACACAATAAAAAATGGAATAAATCAACACCCAGGCACTCTGTCAGCGTTACGATTACTATAGACGCAAACGCCCCTTTTTAATCAGTACTCTGCCCCTAGCCTCCCATTACAACAATAATATTACCCCTTACAAAGCTTTTAGCGTATACATCTGACAATAGAGAAATGGTTTGCCACTTCAAGCACAGCCAGAACGCACAGATAAGTGGTCCCGGATGTCGTACAAGTTCCCCTTTTTTTTTCTTTTTTTTTCCTTCTTTTTCTTCACTGACAGGAGCCAATGCATATAATGAATATTGATAGTGGTGCCACAATCCCCAGCTCTTTCATATCCTCCAACACCACCAACATGTACTTGAATCTCTTAAGCTCTCCCCACCGATTTGTCGCAAACTTCAAAAGAGGGCAAGTTGCCAGCGGATTGCACCGGAGATTGAAATAGAAAAACGGTGGTCAAAATGTCCACTTGAGGAAAGGGTGGGTGCTCGGGAGGTATTGTTGACAAAGATGGCATAGCTTGTTTACGTTCGCCTTCCTTGAATTCTTGCTCCTTCCTAATCCCGCCATGACCCTCTTGCTTCTTTCTAATGTTTCTTTTTTTCTTTTTCTTTTTTGTTGTTATATTTTTCTTCTGCCCCTTCCCTCCTGTCTCGAGAAGTTATAAGAAGGCACGAAAGTGTGTAAATATTATTATGCTTGAAAAAGACGGGGCTCCCATGGAAACGTCGACTGAATAAACTACAGTCAAACCTCAATATATCGAACACGGATATATCGAATTATTGCCTATATCGAACGGTTCCTATATCACGCTGGAAATCGCATGCATTATTGATTTTTTATTTCGAACAAAGTTTGACATATAATGGATATATCGAACTCAGCCACCTCAAACCGCCCGCGCTCCATTGACAGGCGGAGAGCTTTCCCGCAACTCTCGAAAGTAGCGGTAGAGCGGCGGGCGTTTACGAATGCTGCACACATCGATGGCGCCGAGAGCGCCACTTTAACGTAGCGGCGTACGCGCGCCGCAGCCTTGCGGTAGAGGTTCTTGAATGAGGAAAGTGAAAAGCGTGGAGCTGTTATTTTCTTTTAATACGAAGGCACCGACATATGCTTCGCGCGGGGGAAGGGGGAGTGGGAGGTAAAGATTAAGGAGGAAAGTATGGGAGGGAAAGGACGCTGACGACTGTCTCGGACGCGGCCCGCGCTGTCGCCGGGAAAGCAGTCAGGCGAGCCGGCATGGGCGCGCCATGTGCGCGCTTTACACCCAGACTCACGCCGCAGCCTTGCAGCTTGCAGTCGTTGCAGCCTCTATGGTGTCAACGGCACACTGCGCACTTGTTGCAAGCTCCCCCCCTGTAGCATCGGCAGGCATCGGTCGTTGTGCTCGCAGTGTTTGTGCGTTCGGAGCTAGGCCTGTCGCGCACTGTTCGGAGTTGGGCCTGTCGCACGCTGTGGTGCGCGACAGGCCTAACTTCGAACGGCGGAGCTCACGGCGGAGGTCACGGATGTGGAGATTGTCGCCGAAGCTACTGCTGAGCAGCCAAATGAAGACTGTGTCGAGGTGGGTCCCGCAAGCGCTGATAGTGCCCCGCTCCCGACATCAGCCGAGGTCGTAGCTGCCTTGGCCCTTGTGCGCCGCCACTGCGGCGCGATTGAAGGCACCGGCCTATCACTTATAGATCGCCTGGACTATATTTAGGACGCAGTCGTCAAACACGCCATGGCCAACAAAAAGCAGGCTACTCTTTTTCAATATTTTAAACCAACACAATAAATACTATGTTTGAATCTTCAAGTGAAAATTTACTGCACCACGCTTGAACGGTTCGTTGGTTGTTTTCAGCAAGCTGTTGACGCATTTTTTTTCGTGATTTTTTTATATCGAATTCTGGATATATCGAACTATTTCGCGACTGCCGCGCCATTCGATATATCGAGGTTCGACTGTAGTTGTTAAAGGAAAGAGCACCTACATTTATATATATTGTGGGCATTTGTTACTTACATC